GCAGGGCCAAAGTTGCTCAGAAGAGCAGTTTGGCCCATTGGCCTTTTGTTGCATGCTTTTTTTATGTATTTTCCAAACTAAGTACAGTAAAACTCAGTGATAATGAAATCACCGGGACTTAAAAAATTACTTTGCTATATCTGTAATTTTTATGCCCCACCATGAATATGGCAGGGGCATATAGTGTTTGTCATGTCCATCTTCCGTCCTTCCGTCCTTCTGTCCTTCCATCCTTCCGTCACACTTTGCGTTTAGCTCTGTTCAAAGCTAAGTTTCATAGAAACTATCCAAGATATTTTCATCAAACTTCATATGCTGATAGATATTGATGAGAGCTATGCAACTGCATCAACATTTTTTCATCTTGACTTTTCCTTTGACCTTGACCTCACTTTTCTTAAATTAGTGTTTAGCTCAGTTTTAAACATACTATTCAAGATGGTGTTATCAAACTTCACATGTTGATACAAACTTGCACAGATGATGCATCTAGGGATGAACACTACCAGACTTGCTACGGATGCTGGATCTGACCTACATTATCCGGATGAGTGACCAGGTTAAAGTTTTTGGAGCAGGTCCATTCCTAAGGAGCTATAAGCCCAACTTGGACCAAACTTGCATGGATGATGCATCTAAGGATGAACACTATCAGACTTGCTTCGGATGCTGGATCTGACCTACATTTTCCAGATGAGTGACCAGGTTAAAGTTTTTGGAGCAGGTCCATTCCTAAGAAACTATAAGCCCAACTTGGACCAAACTTGCATGGATGATGCATCTAGGGATGGACACTACCAAACTTGCTTCGGATGCTGGATCTGAATTATATTTTCATTCCCAAGTAACTATAAGCCCTTCCTGAACCAAACTTGCATGGCTGATGCATCTAGGGATGGACACTACCAGACTTGCTTCGGATGCTGGATCTGACCTACATTTTTATTCGGATCCCTAGTAACTATAAGCCCTACCTGAACCAAACTAATATATCCTCAGCTGGGCATTCATGTCCTATGGACATATTTCTAGTTATATCTGTATAAGGAATTGGCTAAATTTATATAGCTGGGGGATCCAAGATAACTTCGCTATAATCATGAAATCGCAATATCCGTGTTCATACTTAGCGAGTTTTGCTGTGTACTAGCAAACATAATATTTCTTTATTAGGTCAACTGAGTCACTCAGGTGACCTAATGCTAACCGTTTTTGCCGTCGTCATGTGTGTTGTGTGTTAACATTTGAATATTTTCAGTTTCTTCTCGGGAACCACTGAACCAATTTCAACCAAATTTGTTATACAGTATCTATGGGTGAAGGGGAACAAAAATTGTGAATTTCATGATCCCTGCCCCCCTGGGGCATGAGGGGTGGGGCCAAAACCACTAAAATAAATGAAATCTTTAAAAATCTCCTTTACTTCTGGACATCAAGCAGTCAAACTGTTTGCATGAATGCAATGAGCATTGAGTCCTCTACAAAATTGTGAAATTCATGGCCCAAGGGTCAGGGGCTCTAGTGCTAAGGCGGGGCTATATTGATAATATAGTATAAATGCATCATTTCTTTGAAAATCTTCTTCTCTCCTCCTGGATATTAAATAATTTAACTAAGTACATAGTTATGATGAGCAAGAGTGCCACTTCCAAAATTGTGAATTTTATGGCCCCAGGGTCAGGGGTTCTGGTGTTAGGGCAGGACTCTATATGTAGTAAAATACATTATATCTTTGAAAATCTTTTTCTCTGCTCCTGGGTAATAAGCAGATGAACTATCTATATAGTTATGATGTGCAAAGGCTCTTCTTCCAGAAATGTGAATTTCAAGGCCCCTGGGTCAGGGATACCATGGGTGTGGGGGGTTCTACTTATATACTGAAAATGATTTGTTTGAAATCCACTCTTTGGTATTAATCAAACATTTTTGATAAGCAAGTATGCCTTTACAAAAATTATGCAATGTACAGACCTAGAGTCAGGTGTTCATGTGTGGTAGGGGCCCTTCTGATTATTGCTGAATATTACTGATTAGTTGAAATGCATTTTTTGTTCCCCTACCCTGTCTGTGGGTATTAAGTAACCAAACTAAGCAATTGCTAAGTGCATAGTTATGATTAGCAATGATGCCTCTTTCAAAATTGTGAATGCCATAGAATCTAGCTTAAAACATGAACCAGAATCAATCATTTGAAAGTTGTTGCATGATGCTCAGGTGACCTAAAAGGCCCATGAGCCTCTTGTATTAAAGTACCAGACCTGTTGACTCTTCCAATTTCTTTATATTTTGTACAGATTTTGAGTCCAAAATACGTCTTACTTTTTTGTTTGATGGGATTTTAGGCTAACAGTAAGTTTTCATTATGATATGTATCAGTTTGATGCTTTTTAATTGCTAAAAAAGATAAAGATTTCAAACAGTAAAGTGATGTCATGTTGCCAAAAAAGGTGTTTTAAAAAATGACAGAAATGGTAATCAGAAATGTAGCTTTTTCTCTAATGAAATGTGAAATTGATTGAAAGAAAAATCTTACTGACAAATGCCAAAATCTCAGTGACAAATCTAATAAAACAAACTGAGAGATGACAATACGGGCAAACAGGTCTGAAGTACTTATTAAAATAAATTGTCTTTGATGAATTTTTCCTGAGTGAAAAAAGGCACACTTTGCATGCTGGTCATAATCTAGATAGTTTTAAAGCATACTCCTTCATGCTGTTATATTATGTTCAATATACATTTTCAGCAGCAAACAGAGGGTCCTTGATCTATGCAGTGTTAATATGCACTTTAATTTGATTAACTAGTTATTATTTCACAATTGGTTGCAGTTGATAATTTTAAATTTCTGCATTTGATTTCCATTCCTTGTAGTAAGTTTTTAGTTTTCTGTCAGAGTTATTGAATTTCCTATGCATTTGAAGTACATGATAATTCTGTTCCTTGTTTTCTTGATCCAATTTTCTCTTGCCTGTGCCTGCCTGGCTGTCAATCAGGAACAGCGAGAACAGCTGGCTTTGACAGGCTGGCGCTATTCCAGCAACCAGTCTCGCATCAAGTTACAAATTAGCTCACAATGCTGTGGCTTTCGAAGTGAAAATGATGCTGAGGAACACCCTTCCTGTGCCAATGTAAGAGTTATCATTTCATTAAATATAGAAAAACTAACTTTCATAAACTTTCTTATGCCCACTTTTTCCAAAGAAAGTTCAGATTTATAGTTTTTAGCTCACCTGAGCTGAATTCTCAAGTGAGCTTTTCTGGTCACCTGCTGTCCATAGTCCATTCGTCTGTCTGTAAACTTTTTACATTTTCAACATCTCAAGAACTTCTGGGCCAATTTTAACCGAACTTGGTACAAAGCATCCTTATTTGAAGGGGAATTTAAATTTTTAAAATAAAGGGCCAATTCCCCTTTTAAGGGAAGATAATCGAGAAAATACAATAATAGGGTGGGGTCATTCAAAACTTTTCTTCTGTAGAACCACTTGGCAAGAAAATCTGAAACTTATGTGGAAGCATACTTGGGTAGTGTTGTTAAAATCATAACCTCCAGGGGTAGGGCAGGGCCACAATATGGAATCCAAGTTTTACATGGAAGTATAAAGGCAAAAAACTTCAAAAATCTTCCTTTCAAGAACCACTGGACCAGATAAGTTGAAACTAATGTGGAATATGTGGGGTAGGGTAGAATCTAAATTGTTCAGATCATGACCCCAGGGTAGGGCAAGGCAATTATGGGGAATCCAAGTTTTACATTGAAGTATAAAGGCAAAAAACTTTAAAAATCTTTTCAAGAACCACTGGGCCAGAAAAGCTGAAACTTATGTCGAAGTATCCAATGGTAGTGTAAAATCAAGTTAGTTCAAATCATTACCCCCGGCATAGGACAGGGCCATAATAGTGAATCCAAGGTTTTAAATTGAACTTTATAGGAAGAAAACTTTAAAAATCTTCTCAAGAAGCACTGGGCCAGAAAAGCTGAAACTTATGTCGAAGTATCCAAGGGTAGTGTAAAATCAAGTTAGTTCAAATCATTACCCCCCGGCATAGGACAGGGCCACAATAGTGAATCCAAGGTTTTAAATTGAACTTTATAGGAAGAAAACTTTAAAAATCTTCTCAAGAAGCACTGGGCCAGAAAAGCTGAAATTTATGTTGAATCATCATTGGATAGTGTAGAACCTACGTTGTTCAAATCATAACCCCCGGGGTAGGATGGGGCCACAATATGATAATCTTTATTGCATATTACATGTACACCCATATGGGTCAAGCAACAAAACAAAAGAGAACAATGAATTATATTTACAATATCTATAAAAAAAAATTTATACCCTAAATGTTACACCAATGTGAACCTTCTATTTCTCAATTCTAGTGATTGTTTTTTAAAAGTGGAAATAGCTGGTATAACTTCAAGTTTTGGACTTGGTATATATTCAAGTTTCTGTGTAGGTGATTTGAGGTAGAATGAGGAACAATTATCTAACATAGCTTTTATAAGTATATTAAACCTTGCTTGTATGTTCAAGCTACACTGTAGAAAGAAATGAGATTCATCATCAATAGTATTACATGAAGAACATAATCTTTGTTCTCAGGGTATTTTCTTTAGCCTACCAGTTTCTATCATTACAACCTTGTGTTTTCGCAAAATTAAATTAATTGAGCACTCGATTCCGATCAAGCCGAACTCGATCCAAACATGAGTTCGATCCCGATCGATTTGACCCTGTTCTTAATACATAAAAAACTATAACAACTAACTGCAATTTTAATCTAAATATGTCAAAAACAATGTAAAAAAGATTGTATATAAAACATTTGATGACACATAAAATTTTATTTATATCCACAACTTTTCCACTAATAAAAGTACAGGGTAAACTTCGGTATCTCGACATCGGATATGTTGACAACCTGGGATATATCGACGTCCGTCTGCGGTCCTGGCATTATTTACTATATGAATGATTTGCAAAAACTGTGATACATCGACATCGGTAATGTTGACTACCCCACTTATCCCGACGTATATTCACAGTCCCAATAGCAAAGAACAAGAGCCACGAAGGTCCAAATACGGCACCAGCCAAGATTTCAATGAAATTTTCACCACAAATAGCAGAGAACATATGCTTTTCATAACTGTATATATAACTGAAGTCAACCTTTTGAAACATTTGTCAGTGCCGATAAATTGTCATACTGGATACACCGCGCTTATGCACACTAACCTTTTTTGTCACAGACGGTTGCTATTACATGTATAGAAAAGTTATCTAAAATGAAAATTTAATTCTTAAACATGAATATAGTATCAGAAATCAGGATGATCATATATTTAATGAGCAATTTCTCTTTTGACAGTTTCTAAAGAATATGGTTCATGCTTTATTCACTTTCCAAGAATGAGAGGAATTCCATTTTAAAGCGATAACACCTTAAATATGAACATGACAATCAACTCTGAAACTCATTCCTCAACAACACTACTATCACTGTCCGATGAATCATCTATTTCCTGTGGAATGTTAGCAGCATCCTCAACATATTCTGCCCAATTCCTTACACCCACGTCACCATGGCTGTATCTCCCATACCCCAGAAACCAGATTATGGCGGCGATGTGGGCACAAACCCCAACAACCCTCGCCCCTGTCTTGCATTTACAATACCAGGCCGTGACTTCTGTTTCATTGTATGATATCCATAGGAGATGTTTCTTTGCCGAGGTGTGTCTGCTCTGAATTTTCACCCTAATGAGATGAGGGTCTTCTTGGTGAACATAGACATCGCTATTACCATCCAAATGTTCTTGAATGTAACTGGAGGCAAGATTCAGCTGGTAAATTCCACAGGTTAACTCTCTTAATCGTTCTTCTGATAGCCTGGGAAAGCCTAAATCCAGTAATTGCACTTCTCTCCAAATAACAGTCCTTTTGTCAAGCTTCTCGTTTTCTACCCTTTCCTTCAGTAAATTCACCCCAATGCTGAAGATACTTCATCTTCGCAGCAACCGCCATGTCGTCCTCTTGAGCTATAACAGAATAAATAAAACCATTTATGAATCCTTCAATTAATATATGTACATGTAATCTTTAAAACTAGAAATTTCATAAACCCGTCACTGAAATATGATAGCAAATTAACTGGGATAGGCTAACAATTTTAAAGTACATGTACCTGTAGATAATGGAGGGAAATATTTATTAGAAATTGCACATATTATTCTAATGTAGTCTCCCACAAACGGCACCTGATTTGTAGGTAAAACATGGTCAAGATATCTCCATCTTTTAATTCGGGCGTTTGCTGATTCCACCACCCACCTCACCTAGAAATATTACAGAAAGCCTGTTTTAAAGTACGTTAAATGACATGAATCAAACAACTTAGAAATCAGAATGCACATGGAATATGAGATTATCTATGATTGTTATATAATTCTAATCATCACACACCTTGGTCACAAGTCGACTTGAGTTTGCTTCTTCTGTGGACAGTTGCTTGCTACCCTTTTTAGCAAAGCACGGAATTTCAGCTTTGATGCCCATCTCATCCAAAATTCCCACGGCGTCCCTAAAGCCCCTGTCTACGACGAATATATCGTTTTCGTGTACCCAGTTCTTGATATCCTGTACATTATTTTTTAGCATGTGCGTTAAAATAGCAGCATCGCTGTTTTTACTGTCTGACAAGTATGGCCCAACAACAGTTACGTAGTATCCCTTGGTTGTAACTACTACCATAGCTTTAACTAATGGCCGCCCTTTATGAATACTATACGATCGTCTTTGAAAGTGAAAGTTTTTGCTTTTCTGTATGAAAATATATGTTCCATCCAGAACCAGGATCATCTCAGATTCGCCAAGTGTTCCAAAGAGAGTCTGGGCAAGTGGCCTAGTGTGGCACCTGATGACGTCATCTCGAGATATATGCTGAAGATCCAAGTTCTGTGGAACGAATGAAGTTAACAATGCTTGACGGACTGACGAAATACCTCTCCGTAAACTGGACTTTGAAAGGTTAAAAATAGTGGATAACACTTTGTTGGAAATTCCTGATTTCAATTTGAACAAGAAAATTCCTAGAGATGTTCTTGAACTTCTTGCAGGTGTGTTTCTGACCTTTTCTTCAATGTAGGAATGAAGGTCATCGAATGTGTTTTTACATACCCCTGTTAAGTTTAAGTAATCACTTTCTGTAAGTGTGGAAGAGCAATCGAAATTAATCCGCGACGTTTTACTCTGCAATGCTGCACTCCTCAGGCGTTTGAGTAAATCCAGAATAGTTGTCCTATTAACAGAGGTGTTCTCTTTGGTGTCGACAATGGTCAAATCGGAAACAAAATTGTCCTCATATAAGTGGTTTGGACAGCATCGACTTCCAGCTGGAATAATGATTTCATGCTTCATGAAGACATCATATCGAGCTTTTGATGAAACGACAACAAGTTTTGGCCCTCGGCGTTTGCACAGGAAGCAGGACGAATGGCTCTTAAACGTTGATGGTATGGCCAAAGTAACTGATGGTGGACTGGCTATGGCTCTAGACTTGGGGCGCTTTGGAGTAGGAAAGTAATCAGAATCATCTTTGTTGTCAGGAGTATTGTTTTGTTGCTTTTGATTTGCTTGCTCTTCCTTACCATGAGTACATGCATAGTATTTATGTCTACATTTATTACACAATGTGTCCTCGTTGTTGACAGTTACAAAAAAGTTTTTTTCAAGATATCTACGCTCAGGCTTGGTAATTTTTCTTCTCTCATGCTGTTTTGTCTTCTTTCTACACAGTAGACAAGGAAAATTCTTTGGACCTTTTCCAGGCATTCTAGAGAGAAAGATGAAAGCTTATGAAAATTAATCAATTTTTTTCTGTTTCATAATACCCCTTGGTATGTGTAGGTTTTTTAAAATTATTATTATTAAGGTGCTATATAATTCCATGAATGTTGAAATTGAGCAGATACAAAGAACATTATAGACATTCCATTGAGAAAAAGACTTCCAATGTGAGTGGTGCGATGTTCGTGGGAATATGTGAATAGTTTATAATGTTGAATGTTCAAAGACAGTAACGATATTTTTTTTGTCAGAACAAATGACCCTAGATAAACTTTTATTTTAACAAAATATCTGTGAGGAAAATCCAAGTCGGAAATTTTTTTGGGGGGGGTGAATTTAATATAATATATATTTCTTTAATTGCAGTTAGGTTGCAGATAGTACGCATGACGAAGAATTATTTAAAACAAAGTAAATTGATATCAAGTTGTAAAAAACACACCATATAATGGTGGTTTAATGTTTAATAGGAGATTGATTAGATGATTGTATATCCGAAATTGTTTAACGAAAATACAAAAACTTAAGACAGGATTTACTTAACAGTGTAATCCTTTAACTATATTGATATGTTTTAAGGTGTTTGTTTGTTAGTGTGTGGTTTGGTTTGGTTTGGTTTTTTTTTTTTTTGGGGGGGGGGGGGTGTCTCTTCTATTTCCTTCAACCTTGATCCGCCCTTCTTCCATACATGCCAACTTTCCCGATTTAGGCGGGATCCTCCCGATTTTACCCTTTCATCCCGCCTTCCCGATCGTGAAAGAAAAATTGCCCTAATTTCCCGATTTGAAAAAAATCACCAAAATTTCCGATTTTAAAAGATTCCCTACCGCTGAATTTTGACAATCGGGATAACAATGTCAAACTTGTTTATTCAATGCACTCAGATAAGTTTCATTGTTTATTTAACAATGTTAATTAGCCACAGGAAATCACTTCACGCTTGAACGCACGCAGTTGTCCAGGTACAAGTAGCTTATAGCTTGGGGCAATCAGGGGATTATCTTGTCAGTTTTTAGGGGTATGCAAGGTGAAACACATAGATTAACGTGTTAATTGTTAGTCATTTTATTAAAAACAAAAATTAAAGACAATGAAATACTAATAAAACTATAAAATCGGAATCTAAAGAGATCGTTTTTTGAAAACGAAAGTAGAAAACTACAAAGCATAGCTGCTGATTTTATCTACCTATAATGAAAAATATTGTAAAGTTTGCCAGTTAAAATATTATGAAATCAAGATGAAACAATCCAGTGTATGTTAATTAGAACTTTTTCCTTCCTTCTCCCAAAAGTAATATTTTATAGGTATGTGCATGACTTATGGAAATACCCACATGGCACCATCAAGCCTGACAAATTTCATGACTGTAAAAAAAAAAATTCTCCTTTGGATAGGTGGTATAAATTTCAGTAAATTTAATACCTTATTAGAATTTCTAATTAATTGCAGAAATATATAAATAAAAAATCTCAAAAATGTTTCCAGAAACAGGACTTTACAGTATCAAAACCTCATATATTTTTTAGCCTTTGAAAAAAATGATATAAAAGTTGTACAATTTTCAATTTCTCACTAAATTATGTGTCCTGGTAGAAAAAAAACATGTTTTTAATGAGAGAGGTACTTATTTTAGCAAAAATATTTCAATTTTGGAAAAAAAACATTTTTTTAACTTTTTTTTAAAATCAATTTTTTGTGTTAAATTAATCCTTAAGTTGTATTAATCAGTGATATCAAATATTATAAATTTAAAAAAAAGATCATTTAATTTCACGAGAAAATGTCGCGAATTTAAAGCTTTGAAAATTGTCATCAAGCGCTAAATCCCCCATGGGAATTTTCAAAAGTTGGCATGTATGTTCTTCAAATTCTATAATTATATCATTATTAGTAATAATGACGTCAAGCAAACTTTCACCTCGCTGTTTTATGAATGGGTATGTTTCATAATTTGTCACTGAATGAATCTCATTTGGATTTTGAAATTCTTGCTGCTTCTTCAAGTTTTGCCCCCCCCTCCCCCTCCCATGGTATCCCTGTTTTGCCCGTCATTTTGTTTGGGATGAAGTCAAGAAAGACAACAACAATATCTGAGGTAAACTTTGGCTATATTTTGTGTTACGTTTTTCTTAGACATATAACACAGCTTTAAACATACCGATAAAGTTGTAATCATGACGAAGGCAACAAATAATATTTAATACATCGTAGTTTTGTGTTGTTTTCTTTTTTTTTTGGTACCTACAAGTGTACTCGAATCCCATTTAATGAGAAAGCCAGCGTATGCAGATTTTCAATTGAATGAGACAGATTTTTTTTTATTTAGCGACTGATATGGAGAATAATAATAAAATTATACAATTAAATTCTGAAATACGTTGTATTAACATTTGAATCGATTTCTTCCCTAAAAAAATTCATGTGCCTATATACGTACTCGATCCTACCCGTTCCCATATAGGCCACGGAGACTCTATGAAAGTAGGCGTTAAAAACTTGACTGTATGAATATTTCCAGATATTTTTTTTTTTAATATGTCGTCTGTGTGTTTTTTTTATCTTGAATATATTTTGACTGTGTTACCTCAAGAATATTTGAATGCAAAAATAAATGAGACAAAAGCGTTACTTTCCAAATAAAAAAAAGATAATTAATACATGGTATCATAATGCCGCTGTCCGCTCTCATCTTGCACTTAGCACAAAAGTTACGCATTGTGTTGTAAGAATGTAAACAAACGTAAACAGCAGTACAATATATTTCTAAATAAATGCCTACTTGTCTCGTTTTACATGTATGTGAATTTGTGAAAATGATTATATTAAGCCGAGTTCTAAAAACCTGAAGCTCAATTCGACATAAATTATATGGTATAACAAATAATACAGGTTAGACCTACAAGTTATTTATCGTAAGCCAGAATAATGAGAATTAAACATATTCATGAATGAGTTTTCATCTAAAGATACATTGAAAATTATATATATATTAAACTACTTACACGACAATATCCTGTAAACTTCTGCTGCAATTGGCAAAAAATTATCGCATTGACAGTAAGTTGTCATCCTTCTCCATTATTTTTAGGCGTAGTGATCTCCCTTTGATTACACCGGTGACCATGGTGATTGAATTTTCTCAAAAGCAGCGATGTAAAATCCAAATTAATAATGGGGGGGGGGGGAGATGTGTTTACATTTTTTTTATTATAATTATTGACAGTCTATTTCTTTCGCCGACTTATTGCAAAAAGCATGATATACACTCATGAATAATATTATGTCGCTATAGAGTAATCTTACAATAAGATTTGGTATACTGGGTAAAATATACAGGCCGTATCCAACTTAATACATTACTTCTGATTCTTTATAATGAAAAATCGACATATATTTAGAACTATGCATAACATATTCAAAAAGATCAGTAATATTTTTTTAAAATCTATATGAATTAAATCTATATATTTGTCTGGGATATCATCAGTTTATAGTGGCCAACAACAAAAAGTTTAAATTTCAATGTGGCCACACCCTTCGAACAAAATGTTTTTTGTTTAAAGTTGTTCTATTTTTTATGATGCGTTAGATGAAAAAAAATTTTTTTTGTTCGGTGAGTGTGGCCACACTGAAAAATGGAAGAAAATGTGACAAATGTAGTAGAAATTAGCCATTTTCATCATTTTGCACGTGAATCGACATGTACTACGTTGTTATGACGTCATGAATAGACCAAACTCATTATGCATAATAAACCTTGGCATTCCCTGATAAAAACAAAGTCCTACTCGAAGTGTCTTATGCAAGTTCATTATTCACCAAATTAAAGGGCTGTATTTGCACCTTCGTGGCTTTACTTCTTTACCTGGTATATGTCGACATCGGGGCAATTTTCTGCTCTACTTAACCTAATTGTTTTTCAGCTGGTCGCTCGTCATGCATGGTCGACTCCATGTATCTCAACATCGTCAGAAATTCACACCTTTCACACCCATGTTTTGACTACATACTGCTTTGTAGAAATGTGTTTTTCGAGGAATCCCAAGCCCGTAGGCGTCTCTGAGACATTAATTGTTTCATAATGTTCAGATCAGCTTGGGTTATGTCATTGATAAATCTTCTCGATTCTACGTAAATGTAAAACCGTTTAGTTAAGTCGAAATCTAACAAAACTTTAACATTTTGTAAGAAAAATAAGTAACTGAATAACAATGAACAATGTACACATTAAGTTCAACATAACTTAAAAATTGTAGTAAAAATGCATTCAACAGGAAACAATAAAATCTACGACATGCACCACTATTGCATCAGCAGTAAATGCATGTGTAACATCATTAAGTTTGTTTAATGCACAATTCCAATAAAATTTATGTTTGAAAATGAAATGAAAGTTAATGATGATTGATTTATATGAAGTAAAAATGAAGTGAAATGAAATAATAGAAAAATATACACATTATTTTTTTTCCCCATATCATGGAAGTCGACTTTGTACCGTTTCGGTTTGGAGTTTATAGAGCACATTTCGTATCCTGTTCTGACAGAGCTAGTTGCACACGGATCGAATGCTGAATGCTGAAAACTGTTTTAAGTAAAATGAGAAGATTTCAATAAAAAAAGACAGCATTTCATAAATTACATTTGTAATTTTCCTATTATTTATTTTCCTTTTTTTGATGGCATTTTATTCTACAATAAGTCCAAGCAGTTGTAATTGCCATAGGTGATAATATAATAGAATTAATAATTTTTTGCCACTCAGCTATAAACACATGGTAGCTAGGAGCAAACATGCTTACATTTTTCATCTTTATCATTTGTAATTGAACTCACAATGCATGTTGCCAACCTATTATCATATTTTAAGTGTCAGCTTGAACAGGTTAGTTCATCATGGTCATAATAAGATTCATCATTTGTGACATTCAAAGGCAACCATTTTTTATAAATAAATATACAGATCTTCCCAACCTTCATTAGATATTGGGAAGATAAATAAAAAACAAACTGGAGCCGTCACATACATAAGGCAGTTATAGGCAACCCTCTTTTTATAACTAAATAAACAGATCTTCCCAACCTTCATTGGATATTGGGAAGATTAACA